GTACTATAAGTTAGTAAACAAGATAATGTACTATAAGTTAGTAAACAAGATAATGTACTATAAGTTAGTAAACAAGATAATGTACTATAAGTTAGTAAACAAGATAATGTACTATAAGTTAATAAACAAGATAATGTACTATAAGTTAGTAAACAAGATAATGTACTATAAGTTAGTAAACAAGATAATGTAAATATAAGTTAGTAAACAAGATAATGTACTATAAGTTAGTAAACAAGATAATGTACTATAAGTTAGTAAACAAGATAATGTACTATAAGTTAGTAAACAAGATAATGTACTATAAGCTTAGTAAACAAGATAATGTACTATAAGCTTTGTAAACAAGATAATGTACTATAAGTTAGTAAACAAGATAATGTACTATTTAAATTAGTAAACAAGATAATGTACTATAATTAGTAAACAAGATAATGTACTATAAGTTAGTAAACAAGATAATGTACTATAAGTTAGTAAACAAGATAATGTACTATAAGTTAGTAAACAAGATAATGTACTATTAAGTTAGTAAACAAGATAATGTACTATAAGCTAGTAAACAAGATAATGTACTATAAGTTAGTAAACAAGATAATGTACTATAAGTTAGTAAACAAGATAATGTACTATAAGCTAGTAAACAAGATAATGTACTATAAGTTAGTAAACAAGATAATGTACTATAAGTTAGTAAACAAGATAATGTACTATAAGTTAGTAAACAAGATAATGTACTATAAGTTAGTAAACAAGATAATGACTATAAGTTAGTAAACAAGATAATGTACTATAACTAGTAAACAAGATAATGTACTATAAGCTTTGTAAACAAGATAATGTACTATAAATTAGTAAACAAGATAATGTATATAAGTTAGTAAACAAGATAATGTACTATAAGCTAGTAAACATGATAATGTACTATAAACTAGTAAACAAGATAATGTACTATAAGTTAGTAAACAAGATAATGTACTATAAACTAGTAAACAAGATAATGTACTATAAGCTAGTAAACATGATAATGTACTATAAACTAGTAAACAAGATAATGTACTATAAGCTAGTAAACAAGATAATGTACTATAAGTTAGTAAACAAGATAATGTACTATAAACTAGTAAACAAGATAATGTACTATAAGTTAGTAAACAAGATAATGTACTATAAGTTAGTAAACAAGATAATGTACTATTAAGTTAGTAAACAAGATAATGTACTATAAAATTAGTAAACAAGATAATGTACTATAAGTTAGTAAACAAGATAATGTACTATAAGTTAGTAAACAAGATAATGTACTATAAGTTAGTAAACAAGATAATGTACTATTAAGTTAGTAAACAAGATAATGTACTATAAACTAGTAAACAAGATAATGTAGTATAAGTTAGTAAACAAGATAATGTACTATAAGTTAGTAAACAAGATAATGTACTATAAGTTAGTAAACAAGATAATGTACTATTAAGTTAGTAAACAAGATAATGTACTATAAACTAGTAAACAAGATAATGTAGTATAAGTTAGTAAACAAGATAATGTACTATAAGTTAGTAAACAAGATAATGTACTATAATTAGTAAACAAGATAATGTACTATTAAAAATTATAAACAAATAATGTACTATAAACTAGTAAACAAGATAATGTAGTATAAGTTAGTAAACAAGATAATGTACTATAAGTTAGTAAACAAGATAAAGATAATGGTACCAGGATTCATCTGTAATAAAAGATTATACAAGAAAAAATGGGTCTAGCATAGTGAATATTATGAACCATGCATAGTGAATATTATGAACCATGCATAGTGAATATTATGAACCATGCATAGTGAATATTATGAACCATGCATAGTGAATATTATGAACCATGCATAGTGAATAAATGAATTTATAATGAACAAGTGAGGTATACCTGGAGGGTATACTTGAGTAACCTGGAGGGATACCTGGAGGGTATACTTGAGTATACCTGAGGGTATACTTTGTATACCTGGAGGGTATACTTGAGTATACCTGGAGGTATACTTGAGTATACCTGGAGGGTATACTTGAATATACCTGGAGGGTATACCTGGAGTATACCTGGAGGGTATACTTGAGTATACCTGGAGGGTATACTTGAGTATACCTGGAGGGTATACTTGAGTATACCTGGAGGGTATACCTGGAGTATACCTGGAGGGTATACCTGGAGTATACCTAGGGGGTATACCTGGAGTATACCTGGAGGGTATACCTGGAGTATACCTGGAGGGTATACTTGAGTATACCTGGAGGGTATACTTGAGTATACCTGGAGGGTATACTTGAGTATACCTGGAGTATACCTGGAGGGTATACTTGAGTATACCTGGAGGGTATACTTGAGTTTTACCTGGGAGGTATACTTGAGTAAAACCTGGAGGGTATACTTGAGTATACCTGGAGGGTATTCCTGGAGGGTATACCTGGAGGGTATACCTGGAGTATACCTGGAGTATACTTGGAGGTTATACCTGGAGTATACCTGGAGGGTATACCTGGAGGTTATACCTGGAGGGTATACCTGGAGTATACCTGGAGGGTATACTTGAGTATACCTGGAGGGTATACTTGAGTATACCTGGAGGGTATACCTGGAGTATACCTGGAGGGTATACTTGAGTATACCTGGAGGGTATACTTGAGTATACCTGGAGGGTATACCTGGAGTATACCTGGAGGGTATACCTGGAGGTTATACCTGGAGTATACCTGGAGTATACCTGGAGTGTACCTGGAGGGTATACCTGGAGTATACCTAGAGGGCATACCTGGAGGGTATACCTGGAGTATACCTAGAGGGTATATCTGGAGGGTATACCTGGAGTATACCTAGAGGGTATACCTGGAGTATACCTAGAGGGTATACCTGGAGTATACCTAGAGGGTATACCTGGAGGTTATACCTGGAGGGTATACCTGGAGTATACCTAGAGGTTATACCTGGAGTATACCTGGAGGTTATACCTGGAGTATACCTGGAGGTTATACCTGGAGTATACCTAGAGGGTATACCTAGAGGGTATACCTGGGGTATCTGGGAAAGGGAACCTGGAGTATACCTAGAGGGTATACCTGGAGTATACCTGGAGGGTATACCTGGAGTATACCTAGAGGGTATACCTGGAGTATACCTAGAGGGTATACCTGGATTATACCTGGAGTATACCTGGAGGGTACACCTGGAGTATACCTAGAGGGTATACCTGGATTATATCTGGAGGTTATACCTGGAGTAAACCTGGAGGTTATACCTGGAGGGTACACCTGGAGTATACCTAGAGGGTATACCTGGAGGTTATACCTGGAGTATACCTGGAGGGTATACCTGGATTATACTTGGAGGGTATACTTGAGTATACCTGGAGGGTATACTTGAGTATACCTGGAGGGTATACCTAGAGTATACCTGGAGTGTACCTGGAGGGTATACCTGAGGGGTGTTCCGAGGGTCAACGCCTCCGTGGCCCAGTCTGTGACCAGGCTGCGTGGTGCCTTAGGATCTGATCAGCCAGGCTGTTACTGTGGGCCACACGCAAGCCGATGTACGAGCCACAGCCCGGCTGGTCAGGTACTGACTTTAGGTGCCTGTCTAGGGCCCTCTTGAAGACAGCCAGGTGTGGCATTAAATACTGAAGAGCATTAAGGAATGAGTTACATTGCACTCTACATGGGACAATGTTGATGTGACTTATGGGCTAGTCTGACTCACTCAGGCCAGTGTAAACACTTGCCAGGCAAATCAAATGTAGTCACAGATGCTTTATCTCGACACATTAGTACAGTAGTAAACAAATCATCCGTTCAGTGTCGAGGCTGTGAAGAATGTCCAAAGAACAAATCCTACGTGGTCTGTTGTGATTCAGTTTCATTGCAGGAAGATTGACCTCTCTGTGTGAAATCACCAGCACCTATCAGTGATTTTGTTATCCACCAGGAGTTACTTTATCTGACAGCTGCCCTGGGTACTAGCACAAGAGTACATCAGCTAGTAATTTCAAAGTCACTAGTGAATGTAGTGCTGATGTTATCTGTGGACTGGTTAGACTCGGTCAGGTCACTGCCTTTGGGATCTTGTTACATCTTGTCGCACAAAATCGTAATAGCACAATTACAAACAAACAATGGTACGGGTGGCATTAGAACCCATGGCAAGTGAGATTTATGACTTGCCGTAAGTTCTAACCTCACCCGTACCATGACTTTTTAGATCTTCTTTATTAGTTATTTGATGCATATAAATTGTGACTGATGTTTTTACAATGATTTTACCCTCTCGGGGAAAATGCTGATGAATATTGTCTTTCATCAGGTTTGAATTTACTTACGTAGCCAGTACGATAGATTCTGACATTGTTAAACACTCATCTACATACATTCTGCACTTTATCTTGTTGGAAGTATTAGGTCTTGTTTTACATCAATTGAATGATATGTTTTAGACCTGATCTGCCTAGCAGTCATGCCTCCTTGATGTGATTGTGAGACCTGGCAGCTCATGTTTCATTATCTGGGGTGTGTTGTGTAAGCAAGTGTAGTACTTTTTGGTAGGTAAGACACATAAGCAACAGTTAGGCAACTTTATTCCGAAACGTTTCGCCTACACAGTAGGCTTTTTCAGTCGAGTACAGAAAGTAGGCAGGAGCAGTAGGGATGTGAAGATGATGAAATCAGTCCATCACCCTTGAAGTCGTAGATTTGTTTTGTTTTGTTTCTACAGGTAAGTTAGGACTGCTTAAAATTATGGTATCTAGTAACTGTTGTTGTTCCACTAGATGCCTTTGATTCTGGAGGTATGTACATACTCATTTGTGTGTCCATGTTTGATTCTGGAGATAGGTTCTCATTGATGACTAGGACATGTACAACACCTTGGTGTGTCTATTGATGACTAAGACACATGTACAACACCTAGGTATGTGTTAGGGTACTGTGACATTGCAGTTAATTCCACTTAATGTTTGTCAGAATTCACACCGTCCCAGCGGAGCGGGTTGAGGAAACGAAGACGTGCCCAGTCACCCGTGAACACTCAACCCCAGAGTATTGAAGAATGGGTCGACGAGGACAAGCTCGACCTGTGGGAGATCCGCTTTTTTGGGGAGCGGCTGGAGCGGGCAGCAGTGGTGACCAAAAGGACAGTTGGGGAGCGGGGTGAGTCCATCCAGACGGTGACGACGCAGGGTGCCTCGCCGGCCGAGATCCGGGCCAGGATGGAGGAGCAGCTCAAGATCCAGCGGGCCAACTTTAACCAGAAGCGCGCGCTTGAGAACACACCTCTGGCCAAGGGCGGTATCGTCAAACTGTCACTCTGTTCGGCTGCTACCCTGACCACAGCGTCAGGAGCCAAATTGGCCCTACCAGCTGGTACTGGCACTAAGGTCGTTCAGGCTGGAGCGTCAACCATCATGGCCGTGAGTGGACCGATCCCTACTATAGTTTCCGGCAAGAAGATAATGGCCACGAGGGACGGCCGCATCATCACTGTGCAGACAACGTCGCCAGCAGCTGGTGGCAGCAGTGGAGCTGCAGCAGCGGCACAGCAGACAACGGGGAGCAGCGACAACAGTGGTATCAGCCTTGGCAGCAGCACCATCTTTCCCGTCAATGCTGGGCCGAAGGTCCATGTCACTACGCAGGGTAACAAGGTCATAAGACTACAGGCCGTCGGCACGAGTGCTGGCCAGCGGATGATTCTTCCTCGTTCCACCAATTCTGTGGCTCTTCAACCTCGCACTCCTCGTCCCGTGGTGCCAGCAACAGCAACTGCTGCAGCCACAACAAATTCCTCGACTACTGCTGCATCACCAACAACGCCAGCCACTCCCCGAGCTCCCAGTCAGCAGATACAGATTATCAGACTACCGGATGGCCAGTTGCAAGTCAGAGGCTTGTTTGATGGCCAGCAACTGATCCAGCGACCCGACGGCAAGTTCCAGCTCATCAACACCAAGACGGCAAGTGTTACTAACTCAGCAGCAGCGGTGCCAGCGACAGCTCAGGGTGCCACACCCGCTATTCAAGTGACACAGCAAACAAAAACTGTTGTTGCTGGTGGTGTCGGTGTTGCCAACGCCACCACGGACGGCAATCAGAAGGTTGCAGTGGGGAGCGCCACTGGCATACCTACCAGCCACGTTGTGAAAGTCAATGGTCAACCCATACTATTAAAGCAAGGTAATGACAGTAAACATGTCGTCACAGTTGGTGCCAGCGAAGCCGCTGCTGTCTCGCCCTCAGTCAACTGTGGTCGACAGACAGCTACCGCTCCAGTCAGCCAGACCCCACCGAGAATAAAGACCATCTTGGCGCCCGATGGCACTATGGTGAAGACGGTGATGACAAACAATGCTGCTGTGCCTGCCACCACCGCGCCCAACAACACTACCAATGCCACAGCTACTGAAGCCAAGAAGATTGTCAACTCTCAGAGCAACTCGACGACTTCGGGAAGCAGCCTGACGCTTAGGGTGCAAGTACGCATGACTGAACAAGGTCCCAAGACCATCATCCAGGGTCTGCAACCTGGAGTAGGTCTCACCAAGGACCACATCATGGCCATACAGCAACAAGTACGCAACATGTTGGGCCCCCAGGTAAGTATTAAAACTGTGGTTGATTTGGTGTAGTGTTATCCCTCTCTGTTTTTGTTGGTGGTTTACCCCTTTGTATGATTTTGGTGTATGTTTACCCCCCTCTGAGTACGTTGATGTAGTGTTATCCCTCTTTGTACAATTGGTGTAGTGTATACCCCTTTTGTACATATTTTGGGTGTAGTGTATATCTCTCTCTCCTTACATTGTTGGTGCAGTGATATCCCCCCCTTTACATATTTTGGTGTAGTGTATACTCTCTACATATGTTTTGTAGTATAATCCCTCAAAGTTGGGAGTGTTATCCTTTTGTAGTTGTTGGTTTGTGTCGTATATCCCTCTCTACGTAGTTGGGTTTTTTGTATACCCCTTGTACAATTTTGGTAAGTTATTAATTGTGTATTTGTTGTCAAAGTATTATTTGTACACTGTTGTAGTTCATTGGTTCCCAACATTTTCACCACCAAGAACCCTTTTATGTTGTGATATAATATAACAAAACATAACTCCCAAAGAATAAACCCACAAAGGGGATTTTGTCACAGTGCTCTTTGCTGATGACACGTGCTCTTGGGAGATTTGAAGAGAATTTGCAGAGATTGGTGGATGAATTTGGTAGGGGTGCAAAAGAAGAAAATTAAAGGTGAATACAGGAAGAGTAAGGTTATGAGGCAAACAAACAAATTGGTGAAGAAAAGATTGAATTACAGAACTGGAGGGAGACGAGTTATGCAGGTAGGTGAACGGTATTAAAGACATCATCCAGTGGACTGCAACTGGAGGGTCTACCAAGATGAGGCCGAATCAACAAGTAGAAATGTGGAGGAGAAAAAAGAGTGTGGGGTGCACTTCAGGAGTTTGGGGTCAAACGCCCCTTGTCCTTGGAGAAAAGGGGCCGTAGTGTATGAGTGTATGTTTTACCACTCTCTTTTTATGGGTGTGGAACCCCCTTTATGGGTGATGATCTCTGCAGCGAGGAGTAGGCTAGGACAGTGGGGGATGTACTTTGTCTGGAGGGCAAATGTGGTGGTGTAATATAATTACAGGTGAGGAATTCTTTTAAATGTTTGAGAAACCTTACATATGTGGTGCAGTGATATCCACTCTGTACGTAAGGGTGAGGTACGTATTGTTGTATTTTGGTTGGTAACTTGTAAGAGAATGGAAGATAACGGAATGACTTAAAAGATTTGTATCAAGTTGTATTTTGGAAATAAGGCAGAAGTAGGTTTTTTCGGCCTAGGAAAGGTTCGCAGGTCAGGGGGTTGTAAAGCGGCTTTTGCTGTGACAGGGCCTTGGAGATTCAGAGAAGGTTGCAGAGAGGGGGTTTTGGTAGGGTGTGCAAAAAAGAAAATTGGTGAATACTTGAAGTGTAGTTGAGGTAACAAATAACATTTATGAAGGAAATTCAGGGAGGGAAGGTAGGCTGGAGTTGAAGTCTTCAGATTTTTGGGAGTGACGTGTCTGCAGGGTTTTGAAGATGAGGTGTTAATTGATGAGTTTAAAAAGATGAGGGGTGCACCTTCTGGCAAAGACTTTGTCATGGAGGAAATGATGGGAAGTATGTTTTTGGGTCCAACCTCTTATTGGTGGTGAAGGCCATGTGATAATAATTAAAAAATGAAGAGTGATATTTATGTTGAAGAATGTATGATAATATTATGAGATATATTCGTATTTTAATTTAGGAGGAGGTGCGGGATCCCAAAACGGCCCGGGGGAGAGGGTTCGTTATGGCCATGTGAGTGTAAAACGAAAAGCCTTAATTGTTTATCACTGATGGAAGGAAGGCGGTGTGGGTTCGGTCTAGGAACATTGGAGGGGGTAAAGGACGTTTTATTCTACTTACACTTCCACACATTACATGTTTAAGGACATAATGAGACACCCTTTGGGGTTTTTTTATACTTACTTTCTGTTGTATTCAAAGTTACCTTTATCATGGGATTACAGAATTCTTCCGTAACCCGGGCGTTTTGGGTAAGAGGGAAGTACATGCCTGGACCGAAGGAGGGTGTAACTCTTTCTGCATGTAAAGCATTCTGGAAGAAAAAGGAGAAACTTTGGTTTTTCCTTTTTGGGCCACCCTGCCTTGGTGGGATCGGCCGTGTGATATTAAAAGAAAAATATAAATATATATATATATATATATATATATATATATATATAATAAAAAAAAAAAACACACACACACACACACACACACACACAGGTGTCCCTCAACATTTGCGAGGGTTAGGGGATCAAGAGCCTCGCGAATGTTGAAAAACCGTGAATGTTTGGTGCCCCAATATATTGTAGGGAAATATAATACAATACTGCTTAACTTGTTGAACCATGAACAATCATAAAATACATGAAAACGTCGTAAATTGTACTAAATATATACATGTTGTGCTTTAATAACATGTATGTTATTAAATACCACAGACTCCACCACTGCCTCCACCAATGCCTCCACCACTTCCTCCACCAATGCGAGTCCCTACTACCCTCCGTCCGACCCCCGCAACTGGCAGCCAGCCCTCCCACCACTCAGTGTGGTGAGTGTTTTGTTTGTTCATTATTTGCTATTAAACTACAGTATAAATAATGTAAACACATTCATGACTGCATATTGGAATGGCTATTTGAACAGGTATTGGACGGTGACATCACGTGTTTACTCTTGAACACAGCAAAGAATCAAACATTTCTGCTACTGCTAATTTTAACAATAGTAATAATAATAATAATAATAATAATAATAATACGATATAATTGAAGGAGGAAATTGTATAAAAATACGAGGGAGTGGTTGACACATCTTCAGTGTGACTTTGTTTATGCTGGAGTGGACATTAATCTCCCTGCTCTTCCAAACATTTCACAATAATTCAGTGGTAGAGGCAGTGATAGAGGCAGTGGTATTTACTAACATATACGTATGTTATAAATAATAATAGTACATGTTAATATTAATAACATTTATAATAATAATAATAGTTATTCATAATGTACTTAGGTCACACTACACATACATGTACATGTTTATTTATACACACTCATCTGAGTTTTCTTTGATTTTATCTTAATAGTTCTTGGTCTTATTACTTTAACTTTTATATCCATGGGGAAGTGGAATAAGAATCTTTCCTCCGTAAGCCATGCGTAAATAACAAAAAGGCACAATACCGTGACTGGAACGATACACAAATAACCCGTGTGACTTTGTCAATGGTCCAAGTCGGACCGAAACGTCGTCGTAAGCTTCTCTCTTTTATGTGCGGGTTATTTGTGTAAGCCATGCGTGTTGTAAAAGTCAACTAAAATGCCGGGAACAATGGGCTAGTAACCCCTTTTCCTGTAAAGATTACTAAAAAGAATAAGAAGAAGAAAATTGTCAAAGTGGGAAGTCTGAATGTGCGTGGATGTTGTGCAAATGATAAGAAAAAGATGATTGTGGATGTTATGAATGAGAAGAAACTGGATGTCCTGGCTTTAAGTGAAACAAAGCTGAAGGGGGTGGGAGAGTTTCAGTGGAGAGGAATAAATGGGATTAGGTCAGGGGTTTCAAATAGAGTTAGAGCTAAAGAAGGAGTAGCAATAATGTTGAAGGATAAGCTATGGCGGGAAAAAGAGGGACTACAAATGCATAAATTCAAGGATTATGTGGAGTAAAATAAAGATTGGATGTGAAAAGTGGGTTATAGTAAGTGTATAAGCACCTGGAGAAGAGAGAAGTGTAGAGGAGAGAGAGAGATTCTGGAAATGTTGAGTGAATGCGTGGGGAGTTTTGAATCAAGTGTGAGAGTAATGGTGGTTGGGGATTTCAATGCAAAAGTGGGTAAAAATGTTATGGAGGGAGTAGTAGGAAAATTTTGGGGGTGCCAGGGTAAATGTAAATGGGGAGCCTTTAATTTTAGCTATGTGTAGAAAGAAATTTGGTAATAAGTAATACATATTTTATGGGAAAAAAAGGATAAATAAATATACAAGGTATGATGTAGCACGTAAATGAAAGTAGTTTTTTAGATTTTGTATTGGTGGATAAAAGGTTGATGGGTAGGCTCCAGGATGTACATGTTTTAAGGGGCAACTGAATATCAGATCATTATTTAGTTGTAGCTACAGTTAGAGTAAGAGGTAGATGGGAAAAGAGGAAGGTGGCAACAACAGTAAGAGGGAGGTGAAAGTGTATAAACTAAGGGAGGAGGAAGTTCTGGCGAGATATAAGCGACTATTGGTAGAAAGGTGGGCTAGTGCAAAGATGAGTAGTGGGGGGTTGAAGAAAGGGGTTTGGAAAAGTTTTTTAAAAAAGCAGTATTAGAATGTGGGGCAGAAGTTTGTGGTTATAGGGGGTGGGGGCAGGAGGAAAAGAGGAGTGATTGGTGGAATGATGAAGTAAAGGGTGTGATAAAAGAGAAAAAGGGAGCTTCGAGAGGGTTTTTTTCAAAGCAGAAGTGTTAAAGAAGAGCAGGTATATGGGAGTAAAAGAAAGGTTAAGAGAGTGGTGAAGAGAGTGCAAAAGGAGAGCAGATTAAAAAATGGGGGAGGCACTGTCAAGAAATTTTAATGAAAATAAGAAAAATTTGGAGTTAAACAAGTTAAGAAAGCCTAGGGAAAGTATGGGTTTGTCAGTTAAAAACAGAGTGGGGAGTTAGTAGATGGGGGGAGGGAGGTATTAGGTAGGGTGGCGAGAATATTTTGAGGAACTTTTAAATGTTGAGGAAGAAAGGGAGGCGGTAATTTCATGCACTGGCCAGGGAGGTATACCATCTTTAGGAGTGAAGAAGAAAAAGAATGTAAGTGTGGTGGGGGTACGTGGGCATTCCGTAAAAAAAGGGGGAAAA